AAAGCTGGCAACGGGGTTTGTTGCAAGGGAAGGTACCAGGGTTGGTATTAGTGTGGTATGTCCTGTGGTGGTTGGTAAGAATCATCTTGAGGTTAGGTGGTTGTCTATAGGAGACTATGGGTCTGTCTCCCAGAGCCTCTTTGAGTATGGTATCCTGTTCCAATATAGGCTGTAGTTTATTGATAATGTGTTGGACAGGTTTAAGTTGGGGGTTGTAGGTGATGACAAGTGGTGTTCTATTGTTGGTTTTCTTGGGTCTGTCTTGAAGTAGATGGTTTCTAGGTATTCGTCTGGCTCTTTCAATTTGCTTTTTTGTTTCTCTGGGTGGGTAGTTGAGATTTATAAATGCTTGGTAGAGATCCTGAAGCTTCTGGTCTCTGTCAGTGGGGTTAGAGCAGATGCGGTTGTATCGAAGGGCTTGGCTATAGACGATGGATCGTGTGGTGTGTTCTGGATGGGAGCTGGATGCATGTAGGTAACTGTATGAGTCAGTGGGTTTTCTGTAGAGAGTGGTGTCTAATTTTCCATTGTTGATTTGTACGGTGGTGTCCAGGAAGTGGATCTCTCGTGTAGAATGGTCCAGGCTGAGGTTGATGGTGGGGTGTAGGTTGTTGAAATCTCTGTGGAATATCTCCAGTGTTTCTTGGCCATGTGTCCAGATCATAAAGATGTCATCGATGTACCGTAGGTAGAGGAGGGGTGAAAGGGGACGGGAGTTGAGGAAACGTTGTTCTAGGTCAGCCATAAAGATGTTAGCATACTGTGGGGCCATGCGTGTACCCATGGCTGTGCCGCTGATCTGGAGGTATAAGTTGTTCTCAAACCGGAAATAATTGTGGGTGAGAACAAAGTTACATAGGTCTGCTATCAGGTTGGCAGTAGTGTCCTCTGGGATAGTGTTTCTAATTGCTTGTAATCCGTCTTCATGTGGGATGTTGGTATATAGAGCTTCTACATCCATGGTGGCAAGGATGGTATTATTGGGGAGGTTATCGATGTTTTGTAGTTTCCTTAGGAAGTCAGTAGTGTCTCGGAGATAGCTGGGGGTATTGGTTACGAAGGGTTTGAGAAGAGTGTCTACATAGCTGGATAGACCAGTAGTGAGCGTGCCAATACCAGAGATGATGGGACGTCCGGGGTGCCCAGGTTTATGGATCTTGGGAAGTAGATAGAACAATCCTGGTCGGGGGTCAGAAGGTGATTCTGTGAGGATTTGTTCCCGAGTAGCTGTGGGGAGGCTTTTAAGGAGACAGTGTAGTTTCTTTTGGTAGTCCAAGGTGGGATCAGAGGGGAGAGGTTTGTAAAATGTGGTGTTCGAGAGTTGTCTGGTTGCCTCCTGGTTATAGTCGGCCTTATTCATAATGACCACAGCACCCCCTTTGTCAGCTGGTTTGATTACAATGTCCAGGTTGTTTTTGAGACTCTGGATGGCATGGTGTTCAGCGCGGCTAAGATTGTGTGTCGCTTGTTGTCGTTTGCGAATAATGTCAGTCTGTGCGTTGTTGCGGAAGCTGTGTATATAGAAATCCAGATTGTAATTCCGACCGTCAGGGGGAGTCCATATAGAATTATTTTTCCTTTGGTGTTGGTAGGGGGGATCTGGTAGGTCAGATTGATGTTCAGTGGTGGTTTGGAAATATTCTCGGAGACGGAGGCGGCGAAAAAAAGCCTCAAGGTCACCACAAAATTGTATCCAGTTTGTGGGGGACGTGGGGCAGAAAGAGAGACCCCGGGACAAGACAGACTCTTCTGCTGGATTGAGTTTGTAGCTGGAGAGGTTAACAATATTATCCGGTGGGTTGAGGCAGTTGCTGTTGTAGCCAGTGGTATGGAGCAGGTTAGAAAATTTATTGTCTTTTCTTTGTTGTAGGGAATAGAAGTGTGTATAGTAGATTTCTTGTCTGGTGGAACAAAAGTCTTGCAAGGTGTCAGTCGGTGTGGATGTTTGTCTTGAGATGAGACGATCTAAGTTAGAAATGTCATTCTTGATGGTTTTCTGTTTCTTGTATAAAATACTTATCAGGTGGTTTCTTAATTTCTTGGATAGTGTGAGGCAGAGTCTTTCACTGTAGTCAGTGAAGTATGTTGATCTTAGTGGATTGTTCACTTTCAGTCCTTTGGGTACGATGTCCATTTTCTTGCACTTGGATAGAAAGATGATGTCTGTCTGTATCTGTGCGAGTTTCTTCATATGGTTGATGGATTTCCATTCCAAACGGCTAAATGTAGTGCCTTGCATGTAGAATAGTGATAGAAATGTAGCCAGTAGTATTCTATTATTAATAATTTTACCATTTGCCTCTCAAACCAATTCCATTATCAGGATTTGTTTTGTTCATAAGACATTTTAACCCCTTTTTGTTATCCTTAACTCTGTTGCACATGCTTTCCTTATCAATTTTCAACAATCCCTGGCTTCTGGTTTATATTTACTACTATCAACTTCCCCTTTCCTCTCTTTGTTATCTAGCTATCTATATGGCTTCACTTTCCCTCTAAGCCAGGTTGGCTATTTAGCCACTAAGGACTTTTTTTCTCAGGGGAGGCTTGTAAGTGGCCTCTTACCTAGGTTTCCCCTTTCAAGAGACTCCTTAGAGACCCACACAGGATGCTGGGGAGTGGGGGCAAGCTGGGAGGAGAGGAGAAAACCCCTTCTCTGATTTGTCATAAAACAAAACTCCATCTTGGGACTTCTTTTCTCCCCCACAGTTGCTCTTCCCTACTTTGGTAGGCTACTCACAGTAGGGATGTGAAGGACTAGTCAACTATCTGATTATCCCATAAGCATTTGCGTGTTGACAAGATAGTCAACTAGTCGCTTCCCCCTCTTGCTGCCTCTATCAGATAGAGGCATCAGGGTTGGGTGCAGGGAGAAAAGGGGCTACTTCAAAGCGGCAGCGCTGCTTGAAGCCTGGGTCCAGACCCCGGGCTCCACGCGGCGCTGTTGCTTTGAAACGCCACGTGCAGTCTGGGGCATCTCCAGGCTGCACGCGGCATTTCAAAGCAACAGCGCCTCGTGAAGCCCGGGATCAGCTGCAGACCGCAGGGTCCAGTAGCGCTTTCACCTTTAAAATGTAGCAGCAGCCCTAGGGTTGTTGCTACACTTCAAAGGCTGAGGTGCCCTGTCGGCTACTTGAATAGCTGATGCAAAATGCATCTACTATTCAATTAGTTGATACTTAACATCCTTAACTCACAGTACGTCTTTGCTAGAGTCTTTTCTTAGTTCCTGCGGAGTCTGCTCTCTTTCCAACCAAAACAGGTTGAAATAAAAATCTACAAGCCTATTTACCTTTTGACCAGTAATCCTCCCGGACCTTCCCTGTAGGTAGTCTAAGTCCCATGACTCTCTGCTCGTGCCTAGCACCTCCGCACTCTTTGGCAGCCACCGATCTCCCTCAGCATTTCCCTTCTACCGCTCAACTTCCTGCTACTCTCACAGGGGAAAAAATCAGTAATTCCTGCTCAGATAAGCCTCTCCAGCTGGGCAAAGGGCAAGCCCCCTTGTTACAGTATGTTTGAAGGTATATTAAAAATATTAAAATTACAATTCTTCACTTATTTAAACCTTTATAGTATATCATCTAAGAGAGAGCTGCTTAATTGCACAAGAGACATTATCTTGATATTTCCTCCTTTCTAATAATCAAGGGTTGTGACTAGCATTCTCTGTAAACTGTGTGCTATGCGGCAGCTCAGTAGAGATTCAAATACTGCCCAGCTGGTTAACAGAGCACCTACAGCTAGGTTTTTTGTTTCTACTAGTGGGGCACATTCACACATGCCTCAGTGCACACAAACATTTTATTCCATACATGGATGGAAAAAATCCACATGTGGATGAAAAAAAAAGTATAGGAAACATTGATTATGACTCTAATTAGGGTTATCAACTCTCCAGGACTGTCCTTGAGTCACTAGGAATTAAACATAAGTCTCCAAGAGACTGCTGAGAGCAACCTGGAAGATAAACCATGGGGCATTTTGAAAATGAATATTAAATGTTAAATCCAATCTGTACAGTAAGCACCTAAGCCTTTGCTTAACTGTACGCAACCAATCTTCCTTACCTCTGTACTGGTATATATGCAAATATAAAATTTTATTATTTCTATTTTTATTGCCCTTTCTCTTAGAACAATAAACTTTTTTTTTTTTTGGTAATGCTACGGGATCTCTTCAACTTGACGTAACTTAGGGCTCCAGCATATCTTTATCCAGTCCTGCCTCCATGGACTTGTTCCAAACCATCATGTGCATTTTGTCTCTACTCCTATTCTTGCTCCCTCCTCTCAGAGGGCACGTCTACACAGCAGGGCTAAACTCAAAATAAACTACACAACTTGAGCTACACTAATTGCATAGCTTAAGTCAAAATAGCTTATTTAGACTTTTGGTGCTGTCTACACAGAAATTACTTCAAAATAGAGTACTCTTTCCCTTACTTCCCTTATTCCTCTTACAATGAAGATTACAAAGGTCAGAGTAAGAAGCCTGTTATTTCGAATTTATTTTGAAATAATGGGTTTTCTGTGTAGATGAGCACTACGTTATTTCAGAATAACATCAGTCATTCCAAAATAACGCTGCTGTGTAGACATAGACAGATAGGCCCTGATTCAACAAAGCACCTAAGCCTTTGCTTAACTGTACGCATCCAAGCAGTTTCATAGAAGAAGGTCAGAGTAAGAAGCCTGTTATTTCGAATTTATTTTGAAATAATGGGTTTTCTGTGTAGATGAGCACTACGTTATTTCAGAATAACATCAGTCATTCCAAAATAACGCTGCTGTGTAGACATAGACAGATAGGCCCTGATTCAACAAAGCACCTAAGCCTTTGCTTAACTGTACGCATCCAAGCAGTTTCATAGAAGTCACATTTTATGCATATACTTAAATGTGTTCCTCAGTTTCTGCCTTATCACTGACCTCTTCTCTCTTTCTGCAAACCGTTTCAGCAATGTTTCTACAGTCATCTCCTCTATAGTTCTAGCTTACCTTGCCCTGATAGATTCATCATCAGTTATTATCTCGTTCCAGAGCCTTGCCCATTGCTGGTTTCCTTTTATTTGTCACTTAAAAGAAAAACAAATGAAAAAATAAAACAAATTCATTTTGAAGAGGAAAAAAATAGTTTGTTTGAGGGGCACTGTGCAAGAGAGATATTATATTTTTATCAGAAATAGTCTTAAATCTTCAAAAGTTCTCTTGGCAAAGGGTTATAGAGAATGCATGGTAGGAATCTGTAGAAATGCTATTTTCAGGGTTTAGTTTTCTGATTTTAGGTGTTTATTTTTGGTTAGAACAGTGTCTGCTTAAGAAATAATAATTTGTCACTTTATTTCAATTGTTTCAGGGGGTAGCTGAGTTAGTCTGTTACAGAAAAAAACAACAAATGGTCTGGTAGCACTTTATAGACTAACAAAAGATGTAGATGGTATCATGAGCTTTCGTGGGCACAGCCCACTTCTTCAGATGACCGGAGTTATGAGTAGGGGATATGATATCTATATTATATATAGTTATCATATATATCTATGGGTACGTCTAAACTACATGGCTCCGTCGATGGAGCCATGTACATTTGGTTTTTTGGCAAAGGCAAATGAAGCCGCGATTTAAATGATCGCGGCTTCATTTACATTTACATGGCTGCCACGCTGAGCTGACAAACAGCTGATCAGCTGTTTGTCAGCTCAGCACGTTAGTCTGGACACTCCCCTGCTGACATCAAAGCCCTTTGTCAGCAGCCCCGGTAAACCTCATCCCACGAGGAATAACGGGGCT